CAGAATCCTGAGGATGGGCTCTTAACTCCCATTTCTCCTTTCCAGTTCATGATAGGTGAAGGCCTGATACATTTATACGTCTATTTTATGCAATAAACTCTTTTAACCACGATGGTCCGCAAAACTGCGATATTCACATTAATTCTAGAAATCAGGCACGAGATTCTTTATCTTTTTTTTTTTCGCTTCCATGCATCATTTTCTTGGTTCTTTTGAAATTCAGGACTATGTAAGCATTAAGGGGAGTAGGGAGGTAGTGAGGTCCCATTTGGCTGCTGCATGAAAATGTGCGCACCAAAGTAAAGATTTCCGAGGTGGACCAATATATTTAAAGCAAATCGATGCAGCAAACCTTTGGACATTGCAACAAGCTACAGCAGTGTTTTGCTGCTGGAATTTCAATGGTATTTAACATAAAATTCACTAGCCTAAAAAGATATGTAGCACATAATCTAAAGTTCAGTACCGTATATTCTTTTTGTTTTTGTTACGGCTTTATGTTTGGAGAGACCTGTCTTAAGACAAAAGTTTCCTCACATTTTTAACTTACAAATTAGAGCCCCGCCGTAAGAGGATCGTGTATATATATATATATATATGTATGTATGTATTTATACTCGCCTTGCCTTGCTCTGCTCCACTCGGACCACCCCAACCTATTTTCCCTTTCTGGTGCTCGAGTTTGTCTTATAGCCCCGACTAGAAATCCTTTGTCATAAAATCGACATGGTTGGATTCCTTCTTTCTGGTAACAAACTATCTGGCAGGGTACAGATTGTATAGGATTGAAAAGTTATAAAAATGCGTGGCAGTGGTAGGGCTTTGCGGGCTACAGCTGGAGCTGTTGTGTTTGCTGCTGTCTTACTCTTATGGTTCTTGTTATTTAGCATAGTAGCCAACAATGCCTCTGATAAGGCAGCAACAAGAATTTCATCGACCAGAAACCTTAGCATTTTAACGCTGATAGCAAGTAGAAGCCGTTATCTTCCTCGGCGTCCTCCTAAGTACACTTCTGTGAGCAAGAGAAGAGTGCCTGATGGACCTGATCCCATCCATAACAGGTATCAAATTCTATATGCAGCTCTTACCTAACATAATATGCAGCTCTTAATTCCCTTGTCAACCTCTTTATTGGCTGTGCAAGAAGTTATAGGGTTTGTTGACTGACTCAAGTGTTGTAAACCTTCTGACCTTACCGCATGCCCAAATAACATATAATAATTTGAAGTTGATGCTTATTTCCTGAAGTGCTATATTTATATGATAATTTTGGTTGATATTTGGGGGAATCAGAAACCTCGAACAAGTGTGATTGTATGGTTGTCTAATCACCTTCAATATGATCTGTGAAATGATTTGAGGCCGATCTTTTTAAGTTTATGTTCAACTCCTCCATGCAAAATTATACGAGGTGGTCTCGGTTACTCCTTGTCTATCTGATCTTTTATGCTCCGTCTCTTTAGGAGAGCCAGAAGTTCCCGACTACCACCTAGTTGAGCAAAAACGTCAAAAAGTTTAAGAAGATTCAGAAATCCCTTTGGCTTAGTCGTGGAAGAAAATGCCTTTCTGCGACACTGCGTTCCATCTTTGCTGTTGATTTAGGATATTTTCAAATTGAAGTTAGACGTGTTGGGCAGCCTCAACTCACATCATTGTTGTATGATGTATAATACTGAGAATTGGAAAGAAGTGGATGAAGGCATGCTGAAGTTTCGCTGTAGTCATATATATATGAGCAAAAATTTCTTGGGAATGCTGCTGTTTGAGAATATTTTTTTCTGTTTTAGAGCATCCTAATCAGTGTGTGTATTCACACAAGCTTCTCCAGCACATGGTACTTTTAAACTAGATGGATTGTGAAAGACTTCAGAAGGGTATTCTCATGCCTCAACTTCAGGAAGGATTGACAGATTCTCCTCCGCAAAAAACATTGCGGGAGAAATGAAGCATATTTCAAGAAAGGTGTCATAGGACAATGTGTTTGTGTAGCAGGCATGCATCATGCATGGATTGAAGGGTGATTTGTCTTTTGCTTTTCGATTGGATTGGCTTTCTTTTGTTTTTAAGTGGCTCGTGTTCCCCAAATAAAGCATTTGCACCCTGCTCGGGTTAAAGCGCTAAAAAGTGCTCTTTTCTGGATAAACAAAAAAATTTCTTTTTTTTTTTTTGCCGTAATCGTGTGATATGATGGTTCCTAGATCAGCCAATTAATGCACCATTTCCGTCTGTTGTACATGAAAGCTTTTTTAGGTGAAGCATAGTGTAAATTTGTTGATGAGTGCTGAGAGATTTGTCCAGTGGGGAATGAGGTAAAAAAAAAAGGGTTACGTATATGGTGAAACATGTTATAGCTCCATTGGATTTTCTTGATATTGCACATAACAACTTTATTAGCGGACGCTATTTTATTTACCAGAGTCTCTCTCGACAGTGAAAACAAAGCAACTCCCCCTGCCCTTCTCTTTTCTCCCTTTTTTTTTGCTTTCTTCAACTTTCTTTGCTTCTTTTTCGGTTCTTGATTTTGATTGTTTCAAGAAGTAAAGACCGGTCTAAAGTGACTGAGATTCAAATTAGGAGGCCTTTTTGTTGGCTCATGCTCGTGCGTTTGATTGAGAGACAGAATCCTATTTCCTGCCTTCTCTACAAACACTAACTTGCTACCATTGAACAATCAAAGGGCATTCCGAAATCAAAGGCCACCAGTAGTTAATTAACTTGCAAATTGAATATATATATATATATATATATATATATATATATATATATATATATATAAATGATTATTCTCAGTCTCGAAGCAGACACTAAATAAACCCAAAGTAAACCATCCACACCAAATATTACTGAATTTCCAATTTTACCAGATCAAGTGGTCCAATGAATTCTTTAAACAGAAACTTAACGCTGGAAAAATTTTGGTATCAAGTCTTTAACTTTTTTTTTTTTTTAGTAAATCTTACGTGCACTGACAGTAGTATATACACTATCACCGTTAGATTTCTGACGTGTTCAAAATTTAAATTTAGAATACGCTGACAATGTATGCACTATCTGTATAGAAAAGATTAATTATTTTTTTTTTTTATGATTTGTGATTCGTTGTGAATTGTGATGCCTCCTTTTTGAGCAAAGTTTTTGGAGACGCTCGCTGATATCTCCACCAACTCGGCTAAGATGTAGTGCAAAACCGGAACACACACAAGCAAAGCATGCTCTCGAGTACATACCAGAAAGATGGTAAAGGCCCCCAAAGGCAAAGGGCAAAGGGCCACTTTCCTCGTGGGCTCATTGCCACGAACAATTGCAGAAAGAGACACGCCGATGCTGCCAAAAAGTAACCGCAATCCTGCTTTTGATGTAATACTAGTAACTGTTTTCCTACGTCTTTAGGGCTCTAAGGCTGGCTGGCCTCCCGCAATCATCGAATGTCCCAATACTTTTATAACTACACTGGTGCAGAAATGGCGCTTTTAGCTGTGCTGCCCCCGCCATTGGTTTCCCGGCCTTGCTATTACCAGCATTGAAGCGAGTTTTTTGAACTATCAAACAAGCATTTTTTAAATTAAATAAAATTTCGTTTCAGTTGGCAATATTACTCGCCATGGCCGCTACCGAATCTTTGACATACTGCCTGGGAAAAGTTAGAACATCGATCCTTGATTGAACCAATACCCTCCATAATTAAATAAATGAATCGAATTCATGAATTTTGACCATCATGCTTTGCTAGAAATTTTCTGTGTTCACCATCAAGGCTACAAGGCTCTACTAAAATTTCTGTGCTCACTATCAAGGTCAGAAGGCTCTACTATCATAGTATCCATTTTGCCCGCTACCCAAAAACTTTTCAAGGCCCTGCATTTGGGATGTGCAAACATCAAGAAAAGTTGCAGAACATGTTAACATAGTTGACATTTTTGTATCTTGACAGCCGGCTAGAGTCTGAGTTACTAATGGAAATGAATCCAAAAATCCAGGGTAGTCCTTTTGCCTGCCTAGTGGTAGGGCAATTCCCACCTCGCAGATAGAAAAGGATAAGGAAACTAAGAGAACTGGAAATCTGCCATGAAACTAAATCAGAACGATGAACTGGCAAACTTACAAAAGTTGTGGTCTCTTCGCAGTTTATACGTCAGATTTAACAGGTACATGATCGGAACTAAGCAACATACCAGATTTAACAGTCTTTCAACCTCTCATTACCTAAACCCATGAATATAATGTACAAAAAACTCAAACAGGCAAAAGAGTAAAAGCTACAACCCAGCATAGGAGGATAATACTATTGCTACAAACAAAGATTATAAATACCACAGAAGGACATACATCCACATTCACAAATCTAATGAACGAGAGAATTACCAAGGCTGTATGAAATCAAGTACAGCAACACAGGCCTGAAAATCTTATACAATTACTGCACAACATGAACGCAGCATGATACAGAGCTTAAAATAGGCCAATCATACTAAAGATTGATCATATTTCTGCAGCACAGATAATTTTCCGCAGCCGGAAGAACAACAGTCATGTGATTTAAGTTGATAGGCATCAAAACATATTGCATTGAACTCTTAGTGTTTCTTATTCCTATCATAAGCACAAGGGTTATATCTTATGAGCACTTATCAACCAAAAAAAAAACAATCACGGTCACCATCATCAAACAATATATTCCAAGCACAATTTCCCAGATTGAACTCCAACCATCATGCTATTTTTGCAGCAAATTGAGCATAAGGATATTTCAGATTAAAAGTTGCAGAAGAATTAAGAAAGCAAACCATAACAAGCAACAAAATTAATCAAGCAACTGCAAGCCAACTCCTGCCGGAGTACACACACTAAAATGGCAGTGAACCATCTAAACAGCATGAACTAGTAGCTGCCAGATTAAGAGAACTACCAATTGGCAGTACCCCGTTTGTGCCTGGAGCAAGAAAGGACGCTTCACCATGTCCTAAAGAGTCAATATTACTTGAAAACTTAAAAGCTGGGAATTCAGTTGACAGTCATGCAACTATGTCCAAGTTTCATTAGTAATCTACAATGTAAAGTTCAGGGCTATAGGTAAATGAGCATATTACAATCATCAAGAACCAGTAGTTTCCCATACAACAGATTTTTGGACGAAGAGGATCTTGTGGTACAGTTTAAGCAGTTTATCCTATTATACAGCTATATTTGACAACAGGGAACATAATCTGGAAGCCAATAAAAATGGATACCACTCAATTTGTGTTGCAAGCACAGGTGAATTTACCCTTGAATGCAAAAATTAGTTTTTGCAATGCAAGTGCCAATCTTCCTTTGCTTCTAAGACTTTCTTTTGACAGTAAAAATGGAACTAATCAGCATCATTTTTTCCAAAAAGTAGAGGAAATTCATCATATTGTTCTGAAAATCCTTGTTTCTCAGCCATGCTCTTCAATGATTCATAAACCTGGTACATCGAGCACCTGTCCTTTGGCCGAGAAACCACACAATTGCATGCAATTCTCAAAAACTGCACAATTTCTTCATCATGGCCTTTCCCACATAAAGCTCCATCAATTGCATCTTTAATCCGCCCTGAACTGGAGAGTTGATTAACCCAGTCCACCAAGTTCCCCTTGAATCCTTCCTCGGCACAACCAACTTCAAGAGGTTTCTGCCCAGTTGCCAATTCCATAAGTACCACTCCAAAACTATAAGCATCCCCTTTCAGAGACGCAACCAATGTGCTGGAGTACTCTGGTGCTACATACCCAAATTCACCTAGATCTCCATTGACAAAACTACTTTCATTTGAATCTGATGAAGTCATGAGCCTCGCCAAGCCAAAATCCATTATCCTAGCATCAAAATCCTCGTCAAGTAGAATAACATTGGAGCTAATGTTTTGATGCATTATTGGGGGGTGGCAACCATGGTGAAGCCAGGCAATCCCCCTTGCAGCACCTAAACCAATCCTGAACCTAGTCGGCCAATCCAAAATAGTTGCGTTTCCACTCAATAATGAATACAAAGTCCCATTTGACAAATGCTTATAGACTAAAAGCTTCTCCTCCTCTACCACACAGAACCCCAAGAGTGGGACCAAATTTGGATGCCTGAGCTGGCCTAACCTATTCATCTCCATCCGGAACTGCTTCTCACCCATCTTACACGTACTAAGCCTCTTGATGGCAAGTGCAGACCCATCCCTTAAAACAGCCTTATAAGTTGTTCCGGTCCTAGTCGAGTAAATGACATTTTCCGCACTGAAATTATTCGTAGCAACAAACAAATCTGCCAGCTTAACCTTCACAAGCGGTTTTTGGAACAACATAACTTGAGTTAGCTTATGAGCCCTCAACCTCTCAGCCCAACTATCGGAGTCATCCCTTCCAATTCCATATCCTCCCTTCCTTCTCCTCGGACCAGACTTTGTGAAATACCACCACCATGCCCCAAAACCCAACAACATAGATGCAGCAGCTCCAAACACACCAGCCGCAATAATAATTGCCAAATTTTTCTTACTCAACCCGCCACATTTCCTTAAGGGCCCACCGCAAAGACCGCTGTTTCCATCAAAATTAAGCTCCACACCAGCAAAAGAGGGAACCCTACCGGACAAACCATTATTGGCAACAGAAAATTTCTTGAGCCTACCCAAAGTGGAAAACTGATACGGAATGTTTCCGGACAACTTATTATCATCGAGCACCAAACTATTCAAATAAGAGCATTTAACAAGATCCTCCGGAATCGTACCGGTCAAAGCATTGCCAGATAAGTCTACAGTAACTAAATAAGGCAACCAATCACAAATTTGGGGCGGTATAGGACCGGAAAGGTCATTACCGGAGAGATCGAGAGTTTGCAAGCTGTGACAATACTGCAAAGCATCCGGAACTCCACCGGAGAGGTTCATGTCACGAAGCAAGAGGCCGATGAGGCGATTTTCGTTGGGGTTCCAGCAGGAAACGCCAACGAAATCGCAGATAAAGCCCACAGATGAGTTGGAGAAGTTCCATAAGCTGAACCTCCCATCCGGATCTCTCAACGAGCTCTTCACGCCACGTAAACACTTGACATCATCTTCAGCAATAACAAATTTGCCCAGATTGGAAATGGTTACTAAATATATCAGCAAAATTAAGCTGATTAGCTTGGGAGAAGACTCGGCCATTGGGATGTGGGGGCAGAAATCGAAGAAGATGAGATTAGGGTTTTGAAGGTTCAAAGGGGAAGTGGGTTGGGAGGCATTGACTTGGAAATTGGACTGAAGAAAAATAATGCTACACTATAAAGCGGAGCTAGTAAAATGAAGAGGAGAAAGTCCTTGCATCATTCGGTAATGTATTCATATGCTGAGTGAAAAAGGTGACCCACGGTGGGGTGTGGGGCAGATGTTAACTTCTGAGAATTTTGTTTGATAATGGAATAATAAAATATGAAGTCCAGATGATAATTACGGTGTATGTTTTGACCGGAGATGGTTGGGTATTGGAAGGGTTGACTGGTACTACTCTTGGTGGTCCACCTGACCATTAGACGAACACGAAACATCGGATCATGAATTAGGGGTCATTGGATTACTATTACCTGTGTTTTTACGGTGTTTTTAAAATATTTGATTGTAATAGTGTATAAAAAAAAATTTTATTATAGATTTTTTGAAGGAATTTTTAGAATATATTTTAAATTACTTTTTAAAATTAAAATATTTTTTAAAAATTATATTACCACCCAAAACCACTCTTACTATCGTCACCCCTTCCCTTATCCTCCTCTCCTTTCCTTCCCTTCCACCCCATTCTTTCCCTTCCCCCCCCCCGGCCCCATCAACCTGGTCGTGGCTAAATCGCGACCAAAATGGTCCGAACCTTTTGATTGCCATCTGACTATGACTATATCACAACCAGATCGAAAGGAAGGAGGTGGTGACGGTGAGGTGAGGATGGTGGCAGTGGTGTTGAGTAGTGGTGATAGGTAAAAAATGTTGTAGAAATTTTTTTTTTTGCTTATATTTGTGAGTTGTTTTGATATATTGTATGGATAAAATGTTTTTAGAGTCGTTTTTGTATATATATTACTGTAATATTGTATTTGAAAAACTTGTTTTTTAAAAATAGACCAATCCAAACGGAGTCATATTTAAGTGTGTTTGCATAGGAGATTATTTGAAATAATTTTTAAAAAATATTATATAGTACTTTTTGGATGAGATATTTATTAGAAAATGATTAAAAATTATATTTATCATGCAAAGGAATAAATTTGTGTAAATAATAAACTATTTAAACAAACTCTATACTGCTTGCAATTTTTTTTTTACTTCTAGCAAGGGAATGGTGGAACTTAAAAAACGAAAAGGAGTCGAGGGGATCAAAATCCAAAATTTATATTATTTTGAAGCTCCACCTTGCTTAATAGTTAACCTCGGATTTGTTGATTTAAATTCTCTAGTGTTTTCTGATCAATTATAGGAACTTTTTGTTGTAGACGTATTAAGTGATGGGGATTTTAGCGGCATGTACAAAGCAATAGTATGTTCTTTCTGAATCAGGACCTACTCTTACGCTTGGTATGAATCACTGCATACCAAACTAATTTATTTTATTGTTAAATCCTAAATGCCCGTTGCGTCTCCTTTTGCTGGTTTTCCTGTGTCATCATGTCATGTGTCCGGTCTTTTTCATAGGCTTAATATGTAATTAAATTCCGGTCCGACGTGGGGAATGTGTAATGCGCAGGACAGACGTATGGGACGGATAAAATTTCAACCGTTGATCTGGAATGGTTAAAGCAGCATGTTTCGATTGTCTTTTTTTTTTTAAAATATTTATATTTTTTATGAACATATTTTTAATTATTTTTATACTTCACATACATTAAATCCTTATAACATATTTTTCTCCAAAAATTCGAGACAATAGCAATTCAAACGAAGTTGGGGAAAAGGCTGTATTTTCTTTTTAGTTTAGTTGCCTTCACCAAATTAAATCAAAATAGTGATAATAAAAGAAATACCAAAAACAAAGATTAATTAATAAAAAAAAAAGAATATGAAAACGTATAAGTTGAATGCTATGCGTGGAATGGATTGTAAATGGAAAAGGTCATAAGAGTACTTAGTGCCTTGACGGCTCTTAAAGCCGGCATTGGATGAAGTGTCGAAGATTTTGAAGGTTGACTCAATTCCACATCAACAATGAACTAAAAGTCCGTGTCCTATCCAACAACGGACGTAGGGGCTGGGCAGCAGCCCCAGTTTTTTTCAAATTAGTATTTTTCAACCTGTGTTATGCACGGGTTATATTTTAAATCAAAATAACATTTTATATATTTATATATTGTGGTACAAAATAATAAATATATATAGACTAAAAATTTTAAAAAAGTGTATGCTTATTATTTTAAAAAAATTAATCTATAATGATTTACATGATAAAAGAATTGTTAACGCATTTAAGGAGAGGGTTATGTTGGATAGTAACGTGAAAAGAGTTTTCTAAAAAAAATCAATTTATTAATATCCGACAAAATATATTATGTTATATCCATATATCAAAACTTATAATATAAAAAAATAAATTACAACCAATTTATTTTCTTCCATTTTTAGAAAAAAAAAAATCTTTCTCCTATCTTGTGCCCCTAAAATTGTTGATTGCATCTACATTAGTATTTTTCATAAATTTTAACGTATATATTTTTTAAAAAATTTCTCCGTAATATGTGTTTTAGAGTTCTCAAAATTATTAAAAATTACCATCATTTTCCTCTTCTCTTATACACCAGCTAGTCATCAAATGCCTCCTACGACTTTCATACCTTTTATCATGATACTATCCTTTCTATTATTATTTTTTTTTTTATCATTTTTGTCGTATCCCTGTAATTTTCTTTCTTCTTCTTTATTTTCTCCACCCATCCTTGTAACTCATATTTCTTCTTAAACCTTTCCTGCTACTTTTTAACACCTCACCATTTTCTTCCCTCCCTCCTTCCTCTATACCTAACCTCTAAATTCATATCCCTATAACCCAATATATTTTAGTTTACTTATCATAATAAAAATATAAAATTGAAAATTAATTACAATGGTTGCAATTGTTAGTATCTAAAAGTGGAAATGAAAAACTAATAATATCTATAATATCCTCAAGTACTATAATCAATATATATATATATATATTAACATATTAAAACATAGTAAATACATATTTACATATGAAGACATCAACAAGAATACATAAAATAATTAATGATACCAAAAGTTATCTTTAGTGTTTGGGTTTTACACTCTTATTCAATTTTAATGTCAAATTTGGGCCAGATATATACAAATTAAGTAGTATTTTAGGGTTGAATGTTTTATATCTTTCTCTTAAACTATAATATTACTTTTTTAAAAAATTTTGGTTGAATTGGTGTTGTTATTATCATTTTTTTAGGGTAAAATACATAAAACCTCCCTGTGATTAAGGAAATTGACACGAAACCTCCTCATATTTATTTTTAGGGTAAAAATAAATATTGTCATTTTCATACCTAATAATTTTAAACTAATTAAATCATAGATTCTATTTCTTTTTTGAATGAAAGGATATAAGGGCAAAATTATCAAATTAAACTTATTAAGTATTCAGTTATAAATATTTATCAAACAATATAAATAGGTTTAGCATTAAAATTCAGACATTCATATATTTTTTTCAGTACTTAAAATTCAGCAAATTAATTGTTTCAATATTCAAAATTCAGAATTCGGACTTTAGAATTGATATTCAGTTTTATCAGACGGAACCTATCTAAGGTTAAAAAAAAAAAAGAACGGCTAAACCTGGACCATTATGTTTTACGATAACGTTAAGTAAATGTGAATGCACCTTTTTATTGACAAATAAAAACGAAAGCAAATTTAGGCCTTGTTTGGATTGCTCCTTTCCGTCGAAAAATATTGTCGTTTTCCGTGATCACATTTCCCTATCACCTTTTTCCCTCACATATATCAAATCGTTACAGTAATTTTTCCATGAAAAATGACGGAAAATGCAATCCAAACACAACCTTACTCTTTATTGCAATTTTCTTTTTCAGACGCGATGGATTTACACCTACTCTATATACTATGGAGAGAAGGGTAATTTAATGAAACCGAGGAGAATCTAGAGGAATTGAACCACTACTGATCCAGATGAGTGCCTACGCACTTGTTAGTGAAATATTTTAGAAAACCTTTGAGTTTTTAGAATGCAAATTAATGAATTCGATCCTTTAACTTACATCTAAATAAAGTTTTAAAACTCTTTTTGTGGCCAAATTATTTTATAGTAGTTGGTTTTACTCTTTATTGCAAACGTGTTGCGGTATTTTTCGATATCAACAATTATCTGCGACATCGATGGATGACCTGATAAGCACAGGACGAGGAACATGTTCGCTTCACGTACTTCCTCAGGCTCCCAGGGCATCTGCTAGCAAAAGTGAAGATAGGGCTTTGTCCGTTTTCATTTGTATTGTAGCTATACGTTACTCCCTTTATAATAATAATAATAATAATAATAATGCACTATCATTTTTTTTCCCTTTTCTTTCTTTTTATTAATTACTAAGATGTTGGTTTTGTGATGGGCTATTGTTTGAACTTTGATGGTCAACTCTTTGAGTCTGTAAATAGTTGCTTTTATGAATGAATCTTTGTTTGCCAAAAATATAATCAATCGCTTGCAAGTCCTTGATTATGATAAATAAATAAATAAATATATATATATATATATATATATATATATATATATATATTGGTAAGGGGAATATTATTTGTATTTCATTTTTTTGTTATTTGCACTTCCACCACTTGTTCTTTCATATAATCTCATAAATGAAAATTATATAATTAAAATGATAATTAGAGTGTGATTAATAAAAAAAGAAGTATAAATAACATTTTCCTATTGATGATCCCATTTTATTGTTGTTTTGCATGCACAATAACAAAAGCATGCATTATTGTGAGAATTTTAAATTACTACTCAACCCTTTTTTTTAATTAAGTGTAAATTGAATTAATTTTGAAATCTATCACTTATACTCACAATTTTCCCGAACTATACAATTCATCCCTCCCTCCTATTACTGGACCCTTGAATTGCCACACGTTAACCAAATAAAAGTTGCCTTTTGTGGGAAAAAATTGCAGCGAACTCTTTTTTTTTTTTTTTTTTAAATCTTTGTAATATTATGGCACATATTAGAGTACAGAAGAACCCAGTCCATGTTGTTTTAAAGAGTGGTCATCCCTTTGTTTTAGCTTGTAGCTTTTTGAAAGATCGTATTAA